AAGTTATGCAATAGATTACATTGGCGGAGGTGCACGTGAAGTGATCGGTGATCTTAATGGATCCTTTGGGTCCCGATATTTTCTCAGAGTTGTGAATGAAAGGACACGTTTTGCATCGTGCACGAGTGCATTTAAAAGTGTCTGGTTGGTCATTAGTCTGAAAAGAACTTGTGACCAAAAAATTGCCTGTTTTTGTCGCGTTTGAATGAAATCAGCGGAGGCTGCGAAAAGATAGTGCTTGTCTCTGGATCGTTTTGAAGTAAAAAACTTCGAAACGATCCATTATTTTTAATTATCATTGATTATTACTCATTCGTAATCATTTTTGTCTAGCATTTATCATCATTCATTATTATTAATATTTATTTGTCATCATTATAAATTAATAATGAATTAATATATCTATTTTGATAGGATATTATGGATTGCCTATGCAGCAGATTTTTGGGTTTATCCATTCCTTCGTATAATGCCTAATTCCGGCAAAGCAGCATTCTTTACAGTAGCTGCTTGTATAAGCGCCTTCCTCTATTTCTTGGGAAAATGGATGACTCTTTTCATATGGGGAGGTAAGTTAGCTTGCAAATGTGAAAAGCTGGAGGTTTTGAGTAAAGCAAGTCGGCGGAGGTCTGTGAGGAGGACTGGCACTAATTGCTAGACCCGCAGAGTACGTGCCAGCTCGCCTCAGACTTTTTCTTGTAGGCCAAGAGACGCTTGTGCCGCAGCGCTGATAATAATGACCGCTTGCTTGCAATCGAGGTTGTATACTTTTGTCGAATGATAGAACTTCAGAAGTCTCGGCGCTCGAGCCGATTAAAAGCTGTTGTGTTCGTTATCACTCAATATCTTCGCATTTCGTATTATGTCTTGTAAAGTGAGTTGCTGAGAGCTGTCAGGTGTGTTTCACCATTAATACATGTAGGTTGAAATGTGACAAGCTTCCATCGTAATTCAATGCTTGAGTAAAAAATGTCTGAATCTAGAGCTTGCTGTAGAAATTAAGTAACATTTTAAAATTCTGCTGGCGTAGTCCTCCAAGCTTCCAAGCTTGTTCCATTGTTTTTAACTGTGTTTTTGTTGTTCTAGGCAACGGAGAGAAGACGTCTACAAATTCGACGTCAAAGGAAGGAACGAAAAAGAAAGTAAAGAAAGCAGATTAGAATCCATTGCTTATTAGCGTGCGTCTGGACCTTCGTTTTAAGTACTTCAGCACGTGCTTTTCTTCGCCAGCGGGAAAATACCAGACCTTGAGCAACGTGGGTCGGCGACAGGGTCTGAAAGGGGACTAGCACTGAGTAGTGCCAGGCCCCTGGCAAACCTCTCTCCGATTCGTCTTAAACCTTCCCGCCGGCGGAGAAACGTGCGTCCTGAAGCGCAGATAATGAGGGTTTGGTTTAGTCTTGTACCCAAACCCATCACTGCCATTCCTACATTTTAGTTACAATTACAAGGTTGGAGGAACTGGGTCCTAGATGAGGTCTGCTTACAGGCTAATCTGTTCCATTGAGTATTTAGTCGACCAAAACTTGTTGCACCGGTGTAATTTTATTTGCTTAAGTAAAATGAAGAACGTGGCGAGTGTTTGATCGCGGAGCACTCTTCAAAGTTCATCTAAACTCGTTATTATAAAGAAAACTTGGAAATCGTTCTTTTCGCCTTTTCAGCCATCTGCCTTGCCCTGAAGAAGGGCTGACGCTCGACACGTTAGACTTAGAAACTCTTTATGGTGGCCAGGTCGCATCAACTCAGTTATTAAACCAAATTAGCGTCTCTAAGGACTGGGTCCGAACTGTGACATC